CTTCCAACCTAAACCATGCTATGATTCTATGATATAATGCAATAGATGGAGTTAATGAAATGTTTTGGAAACAGAGCTACAAATGCTGGGTAAAAATAAAGAAAAAGAAGTAAAATCAGAAAATGATGGAACTAAGCTTAGATTTCTGACTCGTCCTCACAGCTCAAGATCTGGGGTCTGGGCTGAGACCTGCTCCCTAGTCCCTGGGTAAGGATCCCATTGCTATCCAGTGAATTGCATGATGTGAGAAACATCACTTAGAAACACAGAACTTAGTAACTGTCTGGTTATAATTGCCACCTACCTTCAGTTGTTCCTCGTTGTTTTTCTTCAGAGCCTCTTCAAATCGGTCTGCTTTGGCCTTAAGAGATTGGTTCTGGAAGATGAGTGTGTCTATCTGGTCCTGGAAGGGAGAACACCAATGAACACACCAACAGTGACAGCATCAGTCGTACACTTATACAAGTCAGTCTGCTCTGTGAAACCACCGGGGGGGCTGAACAAGGTTAGAAAGCCTTCATCCTTCACCTTTCGAGGCTTCTAACATGGTAACAAGCAATGGTGGGTTAAAGTTGTGGGCTTTAAATATCATTGTTCCACCTCAACATATTTTAAGCAATCATATTCCTGTTACCACCAAAGGCATCCCTGATCTCTCTCTCTGTCCAACATCTGTGAAAGCCACAGTTGCTGTGAAACTGGTATGCTTATCTTTCATACATGTAGCTTGTTGGCTGTAACATTACATCAGTGCTTATGGCAAAGCTGCTGACATGCTTCAAGCTGTCACAGCCGTGGGAGGAAGGTGCTGACAGCTGCTGCCTGCAACAGTGTGTGCTAGTCAGGGGGTTAAAAACTTTTGTAGGCAGAGGGTGTGTGCTAGTCAGGGGGTTAAAAACTCCAGTTCACCTCTGCCTACAAAATCAGTAGTAGTATGTGCTATGGAATCTTTACTTGTTCACACAAGATTTCCAAACTTGGCATGAATCACAGGGCCTCTGCCCTCCACTCCCTGGGATTTCATCATCTAGCAAGTGAGAACAGCACAGAGCTACTAAAAGGACTGAAAAAGCCAGGATGAGCTTGATCTTGCTGTAAAACAGTGGGACGTGGGAGATGTGACATGCAGGGCTGACCCTGGCCGGCCACAGCCCCGCTGCACAGCAGGGCCAACCCTGGGACATCCCTCATCAGGGACCACACTGTCCTCTGGTGGGAACCACGGGACTGGCTCCCTCACATTCAGACAGTGGGGGAGAATTCAAAGCAAAGGCACCTTTGCTGGTGGAGACCAGTTTGGGCAGGCAGAAGTCACGGGACAGGAGGTAAGAAGCAAGGAGCTGGTGTGCTGGCAGCTGGCAAGGCGCTGGGGCTGCCCCAGCAAGGCTCTGCAGCATGCTCACCGGGGAGGGAAGGGGTTAAAGTGCTAACCTGGAGCGACAGCCGCAGCTTCTCAAAAGTCTCTTCTAACTGTGCCTTCTCCAGTTTGTGAGCAGCAGTCAGTTCTGGGGAAGATACACAGACACAACGTTGCTAAGTTAAGCCCAGGAGACCAGGGTCTGAGTGCACTGACATCATGAGCCAAGGCCAATTTGGGATGCAGTTTTAGGGCATGGAGGTTGAGTAGGAAACTGGTAGTAATATACTCCGTGACCTTAGGTGAATTGTTATGAGGATCACGATTTCATGATGTTTCAGTGCTTGCAAGTGCCTCTATTTCTGTGTGACTAGATTCTGATTTTTCAGAGCTGCTCGGAATTCCCAGCTTCTGGGGGCTCGGATCTGAAAAGAGTCAGTCTGACAATGGGTTGCTCACCAGTTGAGAATGAGTATCTCCAAATCAAAGACTTTTAAATTAGGTGTGTATTTAAAAGCTTGGGTTGCAGTTTCTTTGGGGAGATAGAGACAAGGCCAGCAAGTCAGATGCAAAAAAAGTGAAGGACAGAACTTCCCCAGGAGCTGTGACAGGTAACCTGTGAGGTTAATTAGTGAGACTGACAGAGCCCAAAGGCAAAAAAGTCCTTTATTTATAGCACATGATTAAAGGCTTCGCTACTAGAACAACTCACCCTGGACATAATAATAACCAAAGTGGAATAAAGTTTACTCTCTAAACCAATGGCATCAAATTGCCATTCAGTACAGTAGTAGCACCTACCATTTTTGGTATACAGGCACTATTTTTGTGCCTTTACTCCCAGTCCCGTGGGGTTCTGCCCTCTAACCATTGCTCACTAGCCACAA